CCTGTACCCATCACACCTGTACTCATCACTCCTGTACTCATCACACCTGTACTCATCACTCCTGTACCCATCACACCTGTACTCATCACTCCTGTACCCATCACTCCTGTACTCATCACACCTGTACTCATCACTCCTGTACTCATCACTCCTGTACTCATCACTCCTGTACTCATCACACCTGTACTCATCACTCCTGTACTCATCACACCTGTACGTCTACTTGTACGTCTGTGATGTCATAACCACGTGTGTGTGTGTGTGTGTGCGTGCGTGTGCGTGCGTGCTTGTCAGGTGCCGATGATCAGTGGGCGGGGCTTGGCTCACACGGGAGGAACTCTGGATAAACTGGAATCGATTCCGGGATTCAACGTCCACCAATCAGCAGCTCAGGTGCAAGAAACAAACAGCGATGAAAGAAAATACTAATAAGTCCGATTCAAATATGAGTATCGGAATATACTTAAAGTACTCATTATATTATTAACATGTTCTCACTCATACAACGGTTCGTATGATATGTTTGTGCGTTTTCATACGAGAACAAAATGAAATAAAATGACAGAATGATCGTCTGAATCTAAAGATCTTTAGCTGCTCGACAGTTTTTCATCCTCAGGTCTACGAACACCTTTTACTTCCTCTCCTCTCTCTGCACCTCTGTATTCTACTCATCAATGGTGGTTTAAATGTGCTGACTGTGCAGATCCTGGAGATCCTGCGCTCAGTGGGCTGTTGCATTGTGGGTCAGACGGAGACGTTGGTTCCTGCAGATCGAGTCCTGTACGCTCTGCGGGACGTGACCAGCACCGTGGACAGCCTCCCACTGATCGCTGGTACTGAACCGCTATTAGACCAAATAAATGACACAATAAATAATATGTATAAAATATTAAAGAAATAGAAATAAAAGCCTCGAAATCAAATGAATGTGCAGGTTAATCTAAAAATAAATATATTTGTAGAGCAATACAAAAATCAATAGAATGCATATTTTTATTTGACAAATATTTGTATTTATTTATTAGCATATTTACTTATATCCCAACTTCTTCTATTCTGTTTACATTTATTTCAGTTTTTATTTAATTCTCTATATATTTATGTATTAATATTACAATGTATAATTAATAATTATAATGACAGTTTGAGTCCTTCATAACTACACACGTTACAGTGAAGCACTGCTGAAGCCGCTCTGCTGAGCTGGATATATGAATATGAATATGAATATGAATATGAATATGAATATGAATATGAACGTGTTGGTGGTTTCAGGCTCCATCGTCTCAAAGAAAGGAGCCGAGTCTCTGCGCGCTCTGGTGCTGGACGTCAAGTTTGGACGAGCGGCTCTTTACAAAGACCTGCACAGCGCTAAAGAACTCGCACAGTTATTAGTACGTTCATTCAACATCAATCATATTGAGATGTATATGTTAATGTGTTGTTAATAATGTAAATGTGTTAGTAATAATGATGTTAAAGTATTAGTAATCATCTTAATGTATTCGTATAAATGTTGAGGTTTGGACTAAACAAACATTGTGAAGGTGTTACTTTTAGCCATTTCTCACTATTGTAACAAAGCAAACCGATCGATTACTGGAGAAAGTGATCAGCAGATGAATCCATGATGTAATAACTATTACGTATCTGATGATGACGCTGGTGTCTTATCTCAGGTGCGTGTGGGGAACGGGCTGGGCATGCGTACGGGGGCCATCCTCAGCAGGATGGACGCCACGATTGGTGGATGTGTGGGCAACAGTCTGGAGGTGATCGAGTCTCTGGAGACGCTGAAGGGGAAAGGACCCGACGACCTGATGGAGCTGGTCACCACTCTGGGTAACGACATTATTTCTGTTCCCTGAAGTACTCTCGGAAGTCCTGGTTTAGACTTTAAGACATTTATGGTTTGAGTTACATCCTTATTGTGCTTTATTTGTCGTAAGTGGAAAGTTGTAGTTGGATGAAGAATGATCATTTATGATTAACTAGCTGCCTCACTGAACTGAAGTGTTGTTGCTGTTTCTGCAGGCAGCCTGCTGCTGAAGATGACTGGCTCGGTGTCCGACCTATCAGAGGGCAGAAGGCGGATTTCTGACGCTGTGATTGGTGGAGCTGCTCTGTCCAAATTCCAGGCCATGATGGAGGCTCAGGGCGTGGCCAATGAGACGGCTCGGTCGCTGTGCTCCGCCCACACAGATTACTACAGCGTGCTGAGAAAGTCTGAGCATCAGATGGAACTGAAGACGCCTGCAGACGGTAAACAAAGAAATACACCAAGAAATACACAAGAAATACACAAGAAATACACAAGAAATACACCAACAAATACACAAATAAATACTCAAGAAATACACAAGAAATACACAAGAAATACACCAAGAAATACACAAGAAATACACAAATAAATACACAAGAAATACACAAGAAATACACAAAGAAATACACAAGAAATACACCAAGAAATACACAAAGAAATACACAAATAAATACACAAGAAATACACCAAGAAATACACAAGAAATACACAA